CACCAGCCCGCCTGGTGCGTTCCAGCCTGGGTTCTCTCGGCCACGCTTTCCCTTCCTTCGCCTGCTGTATGAATGGTTATTGAGGTTTTTTCTTTTTTTTCGAAGATCGAGCATCCAGTGCAGACCTTTTTCTCTGTAGAGCGTGAAACAGACAGTAATTTCACAGTTAATCGCTGACTTCTTCATGTGATAGGCTGTAGCAGTCTTCTCAAGATTTATTTCAAAGTCAGAATGGATGAGATTCGAATTTTCTTGTAAAAAGTGCGAATTCGTGATGTGATATTCGGTGGTTATAGCGGAATTTTATCTCTCGTAAACAATAATTACATTAACTGGTCCCATTAGCTGGATCCTATTTCCTCATCTGAAGTCGATACTTAATATTAAGTGCTAAACTACTTATTGAGTTTGTGCAGAATTATATCGATATTGTCGTGGAAGTCACTCACTTCCAGTGCCTCGAACACTCCAATTAGCTTTAGTGGCTGCAGAGATACGGAAACAATAAAAGAGGCAGCAGTTTCAGGTGTCACCGAATGTGACTGGTGCTGGTGACACGCTGCACGAAATGAACGAAATTGATTCTCGACCGGTTAGCCGGACGAACAAAGCGACTGACGATGCAACCGTGGAAGTTGGCGTCACTGCGAACAGTAACAACGGCCAGACGGCATCCTCCCCAAGTGCCAACGGCACTGAACGAACCGTACGATTTTCGGTTGGTAACGAAGCGGATCGACGTGGCCAGTCAAGTGAAACTGAGGAGCACACAACTGCGTTCAATTTCAAAAGCTGGAGGTCAGTTAAAGGCAGACCATTGCCTCATGTGTTAATAAGGTTGCGCATTAGATTCCATTTGAGTTTCGGGATAAATACTTCGCAGATGTCTGGATCTGGAAGTAAATATAAACGTTACCCTATCTAATTTAAAGTTAAATGGAAATTTTGTTGAAAAATGTAAGAATGGATAATAGAAAAGGTAAAAAGGTGAAGAAGAGGGAGATGTAGAAATGAAGAAATGTTAAATTAGGTAAGAAATGTTTCGGTCCATTAAGTCGTATAAATTTCTTACCGTTACCACAATTGGACCTCGTCAGTACGACGACTGTGGTAACAATATAATTTAGTTAAGAATAAGAATTAATTGAG